TCCCAGTGTATTATTATTAATTATGGCATTAAGCGCAATAAAAAATCAGAGTAATTAAAGCGAAAAATGCAAATAAATTTTTCTTTTATAATCAAGATATTAGATTCAAATAATGGTGCTATATAGTCCACACGCTCTTTATTTAATTGAAAATTAAAATGATATGCCCTTTAATCGTATTTAGCACTGAACCATCGTTACCAATTACAAGTCGGAAATTATATGACCTCACAATATTCTCTAATATTTTACTATATTGAACTAGATATCTTGGGCTTTCCCAAAAGGTAGAACATATGTCAAGTTATGACCTCACCATTTGGTTAAGTATAGCCCAAGTTATGCAACTCAGAAGTTGGTCACTCCAAATCGAACTTTTGGCAATAGAGCATCAACTTGAAAACGGAACTGGATTTACTCTACTAATACAATGGTCCTAATATTTTGTATTTTAGGTTTGTGTTATCTTCTCGTAGGTTCAAACCACAATCAATTTGGAGCTCTGTAGCTCAAGTTATGACCATTTTACTAAAATATGTTTCTGCCTAGAGTGATTTAGTGAGCTGAGCAGGTATTTTTCACGAATTTAGCGTATTATAGCCCACTCCAGAGCGCTTTAGCATATGCTTCGGGTATTTTTCCCCCATATTTAGCATGCTTTAGCGCTCTCAACTCGAAAGAAATGACATTTCTAGGCCACTTAGAGCGCTTTAACACTCCCAAGGATGTTGGAAAGTTATTTTGAGGCATTGGACCTCTATTTCAAGTACGAAGCATTCCTAAGTGTACACAATAGACTAATTCAACATTTTACAATAATGTTTAACTACACAAAACACATTTTTGCTTGAAATCATATGTCATTCTTAGAATAATCACAATATGCCTCTTAGCATCCATTCTCACAACATTTATATACATGAACTTTAATCAATAGCTAGATACCAAAACATACATCTCATTCACAATTGAAAGCTAATTATACATCTCTTTATATACTTAAGTTTACAAAATATGGCTCAAGGCCCTCCAAATGACATAAATACATATATGACCAAATCATGCTTTCTCAAAAACAATGGACATCAAAATAGGTCCTAACATGCTACTTTGTCAAAAAGGATCAACATACGTAATAATATGTCATCTATCCACAAGTTGGCCTCTTGCCAAAACACATCTCATCTTCACCAGTCAATGCACCTGAAATATAATCCTCACACGGGGTGAGATACAATCTTAGTAAACTCAAGGTCCTTGGAGACTTCTCTAATCCTTGAGCTCACTCCATAATATACAATCATTAAAATAACATTTAGCACATTTCGAGAGAAGATACACAAAGGATGCACATCTCCCATCAATCAGTATATATATCTATACATAGCACTCCTGAGAGGAAACACATAAGGGATTCACATATCTCATATGACACTTCCAAGAGAACGCACACAAGGGATTCAGTTTATCCACGTAACTCTAGCTCCAAGGGAATTCCATATTTATTCTACTGGCCCGAGAATTTATCCGATCATGTAGTTATAAATAGCATAAATATGATCAATAGTTTAAGCAATAACACCTAATTTTGATTTCAGTGCACATCATGTCATGCAAACCATTATTCCTCATGTAGTATGGTGGAACATCAAGGGGAAAAACCCCCACTGTCCAAGAGTTTACCCTGTCATAGCTTTCCTTAATTCTCTTGTCTTTCCCAAGCAATTGCCAATTGCACAACAACCACAACACAACCTATTCCAAGGTAAATACTCAATCATTAGAACAACCAAAGCAACATACTCTCATTTATCATACCCAATGTCTCAAAGTCATGGTTTAGGGGCTTTCCCTCAAGTTCTTTAATCCCAAGAATACATCACTAACTCCCGATAGGTTCCAATGGTGATTCCAACATATAATCACAAATAGAATCAACACTCCTACATCATACAACAATGATTCAAGAATCAATACCATTACCAATGCACTAATTTTGAAATCCCCAAAAATCCTCATAAAACCCTAACACCAATCATGATATTCAACATAATACATAAAAACAAGATTTACTTACCTTATAATCCCCAAAGTCTCCTTCAATGAAGGATTTCCAAGCTCCAAGGAGGTTCAAAACTCCTTTCAATGGCTACTCGCCATGGACCCACGAAAATGGTGTTGAAAGTTGGAAGCTTTAGGGTTCTTTCTTGAGATCTTAGTGTAAAGATGATGGTGGGGCGAGGAGGATGACAATGGTTGTTTGATTCCAACATATAAAGTCGAGTCATAACATAGACAATTGAAGGTATGTTGGTGTATAAAGATAGGTTGTGTCTTGAATAGGAGTTGAAAAGGACTTTTATTGTTATGTAAAGGGCTAGGCATTCTATTTATGACATGGATAGAATGGATAACAACATAGTTCTATAGTTTTTTTAGAAGTTTAGATTGAAATAGATGGCATGAGCTACACCAAGAATATATCATTGTTTGCATCCTATAACACCATTTTGTTGTGGTGTTTGAACTCAATTAGTCCAATGGAGAATTTTTTTTGTTCATAACAATCATTCATTAGGAATTCAATTCCATTATCTATCCGGATACATTTAAGCATAGTACTAAATTTGTTTTCAATTCAGATAGTAAAATTCTAATATAAGTATGTGCAAATCTCATACTTGTGTTTCATAAGAGCAATCCAAATGAAACGAGGAAAACCATCGATAAAAGTAAGAAAGTTCTGATTTTCTTAAACTGAATTTATTGAGTAGAGCCAAAATCTATCAGAAATTAATAGTTTAAAAACATGAGTGCTTTTTGTAATACTAGAAGTAAATGACAGTCTATGATACTTGGCTAAATCATATACATCACATGGTGCAACATGAATTGAAGGAATGAAGGGAAATTTTCTAGCTACTTGTGTTAATACATATTCATAGCTATGGCCATTGTTAGTGCTATAAGAGAGGACTATCTAAATTTGAGTTGACAAAAGAAATAATTGTTGGTTTGATATTATGTATTAAGTTTTGGGAACCACCATAGCATAGAGTCTGTCCTGTGGATCAGTTGTACCAACCATCGCCTGAGAATGGGTTTATTTGATCAAGCAACAAGAATAGAGAAATTGGAAATATGTGTTGACTTTAATATGTTTATTACCAAAGAATCATGAAAGATTAGAAAACAATTGATGGACTTTAGCAACTTTGTGACAAACAATAATTTGATTTTAAATTCAACTACGCATTACACATCAAACAAGGTAATATATGTTGAAAGGATAATTGTTCTAGAGTAACAAGCATTCACATGTGAGCCATTTCGAAGAGAGATAGAGATAGACTTGATCTTATAAAGAGTAGTGAAATTGGAACGCAAATGGGCTATTTGGTCTATTGAACCCGTGTCAAGGATTCAACGATTTTGATGAGTACTTTTGAAAAGGTAATTATGCAATCATAATTACAAAGTGTGCAAGATTTAAGTTATGTACAGATGAAGTAAGGATAATGTGAACGTATGAGTGAACATGAGCAAATTGTACTTTTAGCCCCATCAAGATATGAATGCCATAACCTTGATCTCTGTATTTATGAACTTGTGCAACTGCTCCACAAGAATAGCTTAGTAGAGGTCTCAAACTTTCTAATTCATCCATAACTGGGTATAATATTTGTGGTTGGCTTTTCACCTTATTGAATGTGAAACAATTCTTCTTGTAAATCTAAAATGCAGAAGATATCTACCAGCAAGAACGAGCACGCAGGTCTTTCCACGCTTTTGAGGTAAGATCTATACATAAACTAAAACAACTTAAAATAGAAATCATAATTTAATAACATAGTGATTACTCATGAGAGAATTAAGTCTAAGGCGACTTCACCTTGTTGATAGTCCATTCCCCATAAGGGTGAAGGTTACATTAATTGTTTTATATTTCTCTAACACGCCCCCTCACACGAGAGCTCACTAGGCTTGAAGTATGGAAAATGCACAGGTCTACCTACCTATACTTAACAAACTCCATAATACTTAATTATTAATTAATTAAATTGAGGGCGGTGAGAATTGAACCTGTGACATTGATGCTCTGATATCATGTAGAAAACCAATTCAACCCAAAATATTAAGGTATTGAGTGATGATATATTATTTATTTTGTATCTTTTGCATCTCTCTAACATTTCCCCTAGGGGCGACTCCATCTAAGGGGCAGCCCTCTCCTTTCTCAATTAAGGTCAAATCATAATATCTCATCGAGGGCGGCTCCATCTCAATGATAGCCCTCTCCTCTGAATGTTGACCTTTCCCTTGGAGAGGCTTCATCGTACAGATAACCCTCGCCTCCAAGAATAAAGTATCCATATGTCAAATAAGGTGTGCCTAGACTGTTACCCTCGCTAACGGTTATAGGATTCTAACATGAACCCCAAAAATATATATACAAAATTTTGACTAATCATTTTTTTTTGGTTCAAAACAATTCATTTCTAATTACAAGTAAAATTATTGTTTGTCATTTGCCTACCTAATATAGCATTTAGATTGGTAATAACAAAATTTATGTTACCTGGAGCGTTCTACCTTTGATTTATTAGAATCTCCTCTCTGTCTTTGCCTTGAAATTGGTCATTATTAGCTTTGAAATTTATGTTACCTTGAAATTGTCGATTTTGAAAATGTCTACAATTTTTCACAGAAAAGAAAAGAAAAGAAAACAAAAAGTGAAATTTAAGTATATATCAAGAAAATAAAATATAATTTATCTTTTTTTTTAGTTGAACAAGTTCTTGAATTTTAATTTTTTTCCCTTTCAACTCACTTGTACTTCATTAATACCTTCTTCTAGCAAAAAAAAAAGGACAAAAATGCTTTTAGAGGAGACCATTTGCTAATTTTATTTGTTAAGCTAATTACTTTTCTTGATTAATTCATTCTCTGTTTTTTCTCTTTTAAACTTATACAGTGTAGACATTTGGAGAAAGAGGAAGATGGATTGTGTTACTGCAATTGCAACAGGAGTTGTATCCAAAATTGGAGAATTGCTTGTTGAGCCAATTGGTCAACAATTAGGCTATTTGATTTGCTATGATTACAATGTCAAAAATGTGAACAATGTGGTTCAAGCTTTAAAAGATAGGAAAGTAGAAGTCCAAGGAATGGTGAATGCTGACAAAAAGAATGGGCGTGTAATTGTACCACATGTGGAAAACTGGTTGAAAGAGGTTGATGATATGTTAGTTTTGCTACAAGAATTCAATGAAAATGAAGTCAGCAGGAACAAGAAGTGCCTTGGTGGATTGTGTCCCAATTTGAACTCTCGTTATTCATTAAGCAAGAGGGCTAAAAAGATGAAGGAGAAAATTGTGATCTTAAAAGAAGAGAAACTTGAGATCATATCCAACCCAGCAACTCCACTGAAATTGTCATCCATCTTTGCAAAAGACATTAAAGGCTTTGAGTCTAGAAAATCAATCATAAGAGAAGTCATAGAGAAGCTCAAGGATGAAAGGTTTAAAAGAATCAGCATTTGTGGGATGGGGGAGTGGGAAAAACCACTTTGGTGAAAGAAGTGATCAAAATTGTAGAAGCAGAGAAACTATTTGATGCAGTTGCATTCACGGTGGTCTCTCAAACTCCAGACCCTAGGAAGATCCAAGGTGATATTGCTTATAGTCTTGGCTTGAAACTTGATAGCGAGACATTGCAAGAAAGAGCACAACAACTCCTTGAAAGGATAAGCAACAATGCTACAACAATCCTTATAGTGCTAGATGATGTTTGGACAGAGCTTGATTTTGAGTCCATTGGTCTTCCTTCAAATAAGGATCACAAGACTTGCAAATTTATATTCACATCAAGAAATGAAGGAACATGCCACAAGATGGGAAGTCAAAAAACTTTCAATGTTAATATCTTGTCCAGGGAAGAATCATGGGATCTTTTCCGGGATATAACAAGTAATGATCTTGTCAATAGTCCTGATCTCAATTCCATAGCAAAAGATATTTCAAATGAATGTGGTGGCTTGCCTATTACCCTTGTTACTGTTGGAAAAGCGCTAGTAGGAAGTACACAGAAGTATGTTTGGGAGGATGCACTCAAACAATTAAGAAAGTCGTCAGGTTCTTTCTCAGATGTGCAAAAATGTATTGAACTGAGTTGCAATCTGTTGGATGAAGAAAAAGCCAAACGTTTCCTTTATCTTTGTTGCTTATATCCAGAAGATACTGATATCCCTATTGAAGATCTAATGCGGGACGGATGGGGTCTACAATTATTCGAAGATCAAGATGCATTATGGGAAGTAAGGAATAAAGTGCATACCTTGATAAATAATCTAAGGAGGCGCTACTTGTTGTTGGATAGTAATGATGAAGAGTGTGTGAAGATGCATGATTTTGTACGTGATGTTGTCATATTAATTGCATCCAGAAATGAAAATGATTTTAAGATACAATGTGATGCTGAAAAGAAGTGGCATGAAAAAAGTACATGGAATTCTAGTTGTGTAGTTTAAAGTATGATTGATGAGGTGAAGGAGTGCCCCAATATTGTTGAATATCCAAAGCTTGAGCTTTTACAAATGGCATCAAAAGAGGGAAAGCCCATCCTGATAAATTTCTTTCAAGGCATGACTAAGCTCAAGGTTTTAAGTTTGCAAGAGTTGAGCATTCCAAAAGTCCCATCTCTATTTCAAACCTCAAACAACCTTCGAACACTGCGTATAGAAGATTGTCAGGTTGAAGATGTATCCATAATTGGTAAGGAACTTCTGAAACTAGAAATTCTAAGTTTTGCAAACTCAAACATCAAGGAATTGCCAATTGAAATTGGGCAATTAAAAGCTCTAAGATTATTGGATTTGACAGGATGTGATGATCTTTGTAAGTTTTCTTCTAATGTCTTGACAAACTTATCTCAATTGGAAGAATTTTATTTTAGTGTAGAAAATTTTCCTTGGATGCAAAACAATGACGTCCTCATTGAGTTAAAAAAGATATCCCATCAGTTGAAAGTTGTTGAGATTCGATTAAGGAAGGTTGAACTATTCCCCAATGATTTGATTTTTGAAAATGAGCTGAGATTTTGGGTCTACGTGGTACCTTATGATAATTTTTCCCGTGGTGGATATTTGGAGTCAAATGTATTACAATTCACAAATGTTGATTACAACTCCATTAAATCTAGTATGACAACCAAACATTTGGTGAAGCAATGTGAAATTCTGATAGTTAAGAATGTGAAAAACTTGAAAAATGTTTGCGGGTTAGAAGAAAGTGCAGAACTTTCACGTTTGAAAGATCTAAAGATTAGCAAGTGTTCCAGTTTAGAGTATCTCGCAGAAGAAAGGGCCAAACTTCCACTTTTGAACTATTTAGCAGTGAGTGATTGTTCCAATCTCATGTATCTCATTGATGGCAGTAAAGCTCATAAATCGATGATTGATTTCTCAAATCTTGTGAACATGGAGTTGGTAGATCTCCCAAGCTTGATCGGCTTTAGTAAAACCATTGATTTGAACAAGTCACATCCATCTATACCACATGTAAGTAAATTACTTTGGTTTATTTTTGCATAATTATGATATATTTTTAGCAATTATTTTGATTTTGTAGTTATGCATTACATGTCACATGGTAAAATATAGTATTTCAAATGCTAGTTTAAATTATATTCTAGGTGAATTTCATGTAATCAACTTATCATTTATCTCGGTTTATACGTATCAATCTAATTTTTTTTTATTTCTATAAGAAAGATATTGAATAATAACTTATTTTCATGTATATGATGATGTTTTTTGGTTATGATCAATAATTTTCTCATTCGTGCTATGAAAAGTGTTTATTTTTTCAATTATTGAATTTTGAGAAATAGTGGAAGATTATAGGAGAACAAATTATTTGCTACTTGAACCAATAGTTATTGGAATAAATATCTGGACTTAAAATTTTGTATTTATGGCAAGTTACTCAATGGTATATCTGAATATATTAATATCATTCTATTATATTCAGATAGCATCCTCATTTTTTATGTTAATTTTTACTGATTATTTATTTTTTAAATAATTTGGTAAGAAGAATATATTCTTTTTATATGAAGTTCTAACATCAATTAAATAATTGATATTAACTTTTTAATCTACATGAATTTAATTAGAGTTAAACACAGGCTTAATCTCTATATATATATATATATATATATATATATATATATATATATTTTGTCTACCATGATAAAATATTTCTCCCAATTTTTTTTTTTTTGTTGCATTTGAGTAGAGATTATATTATATCACTAAATTAGTTTACTAAACAAATTATTGGTTAAGGAATGTCAACTAAATTTTGTTGCACTTGTTTAGGGGTTTAGCTCTACCACTGAATTAGATGATTCAACAATGGTTAAGGATGATGAAGTATTGAGCAGGTCCAACTCACCAATCAATACGAAGTGGTTTTCATCTAATTGGATGAAACAATTCCAAAAATTGGAAACAATTTTATTACAAGAATGCATTTCCTTAGAGATGGTGTTTGACTTGTAAGGATATTCAAAGTCGAATAGCCAGCTACAAGCTTTGTTGTTTCCTCAATTGAAAGAGATCGAGATATCATACCTCAATAGTCTAACATATGTGTGGGGTAATGTTCCACACTGTGTTCAAGGCTTTCAAAATTTGAGCTCCATGAGAATCTCAGATTGTGACTCTTTAAGGCATATATTCACTGTTGCAGTTGTCAGAGCAATGGTGAATCTTGAGAAATTGGAAGTACGCTCTTGCGAGTTGATGGAAAATTTAGTTGGATGGGGCATAGAGAAGGAAGAGGACAATGATAAAGATAAAACACAAGTGACAACTATTATGTTCAATAAATTATATTCTATATCACTTTCAACACTTCCAAAGTTTATCAGCACTTCTTCGGATTTTTTTGAGTTAGAATTGCCATCCTTGAGAGAATTCGAGATTGATGATTGTCCTATGTTGGAGATATCTATATTACCAAATCATATGGATGCGAATGGAAAAAATCTCAATTTCAAATGTTATGCAAACATAAAAGATGATGGTTTTCCCAATTTAAAAGAAAACAACTCAAGGTGTTTCAATTTGCCCATTGGTTTAATTTCATTGGTGCCCAAAATTATTCGCAAAGGAAGCACAAATAAGACAAGTAGCAAGGTATGAAATCCCTTTGCATATATTTTCTTCTAGTGTATATGCAATCTTTTATAATATTTCTCTTTCATCTTAATCTTTCAAAGCAAATGTATAATGGTGAGAAATATGCAAATTTAATTTAGAAGATATGAAATAGAAGTAAATGTATCACTCAAGTACTTTAATAAATTTCTAATTTTTATTATATTTTTTTCCTTATCCTATAACTAGTTTTATAGTCAAGTGTGGTAGTTAACCACAATGTTAAGAAACCCGGACCGACCAGGCCGGGTCGACCCGGGAACTGGTAAACCGGTCATATAATCGATCCAGTTCAAGCAATGGACCGGTCATGCATCAGAACCGGTGCGATCCGGTCTGACCCGACCGGTTTTCATGAAAATCGGTGACCCAGTCGGTTAACCGGCCCGGTCCCAAAAAATAATTCAAATTTTTTTTTTCAAAAAAAAAAATCATAATGGACATATTTGAATATTTTTTTGCTTATTGACTTACATAAGTTATGTACCTACAACACTAATATTATCTCAATTATGTACTATGCAGAAAATTTTGATTTGATTTATAGTTAGAGATGTCATTTTCTGAACCTAAAGCTCTGTATCACGATCATTATATTTTTGTTTGATCTTTTATTGGATAATAATATGTGATTTATTATTTTTTATGTTAAATATTTGAAATTTTTATCATTTTTTTAGATATTTGAGTATGTTTATAATTTTTTAATATAAATTATAAAATTGTATATAATTACCGGGTCATGCGGTTGAACCAATGACCCACTGGTTGAACCAGTGACCCAGTGCCTCGACCCGGTCAATAACCGGACCGGTTTTAATAACATTGGCTAACCAAGAATAGAATGATAAAAACAAATATTATTTTAATGAAATATAAAAAATGGAGAAAGAGAATTTATTTATTTTTTGGAACCAATGGAGACTTTTGCCTCTCTATCTTAATTCCGCAGACAAACATGAGGACATGGTGGGTAATGAAGTTATTTTCTGCTAGTATTTGGTATTTTTCTATCAAACATATAGATGAAAAATTGATTGTTAATAGAGAGACAAAGTAGCAAAGAAATTATGTTATAAAAATATTAATAATTCACTTAAACCGAAATGCATAATTTTACAACACTACATGTCAAGTTAATTTTTTTTTTAAATGAAAAATATTTGCTATACAGACAAAGATTTAAAATATCAAACATGGTAATTGAGGAAACTCAGACAATAATGATTGTATTGCTTTACTCAATGAACAGGGAATATAGCATGAAAAAGGTGAATTATGAAATAGCAGAGTTTGAAAATGATTTCCTTAATTTTGTAGGGTGCATATGAGGGAGATCACAAGAGGATAAAACTTGACCCTTTTATTGATGGATCCTTATTCTCAAACTTAACATCTCTGTTCATAAAAGCTTGTGACAAAATCTACAACTTGCTCTCCTATTCATTCTTGACAAGTCTTGAGAAGCTAGAAGTACGGGATTGCAAGAACATGGAAGAAATAATATCTCAAGAAGAAATGCGAACGAGTGAAAATAAGATTACTATTTTCCCAAGATTGCATCATCTATGTCTTGGAGGCTTACCTAACCTCAAGGCCTTCTGCAAAGGTTCCTATAATTTTAATTTCCCATCATTGCAAAAAGTGGAAATTAAAGATTGCCCCAATATGGAAGTGTTTTCACGAGGATCTTCTGACACACCTATGCTTGAAGATGTCACCATAAAGATCGAAACACACAGTAGCAACTATATACAGAGGAAAGACCTGAATGCAACTATACAAGGATTTAAAGCATTTGTATGCATCTTCTTATAAATTACTCATAAACTATAACTTTGATAATCAGTTACACTTAAAATAATCTTAATAGTTGATTAGGTCGCCATTAATTAGTAATTTTAGCAATAAAAGTAAGGCAATACTTTTGGAAGATGCATTAATGAATGTTTTGCAGGTGGCATTACAAAGATCCGAGACGCTGGAGTGGAGCAAGCTCAATGACGATGGCTTATTTGGATACTTCATCAAAAACTCAGAAATGAATATGACAAGATATCATAAACTTTTGGTGCTTGTTCAATTCAAGGAGGCACAGATGCTTCAACTTCAACATGTGAGAGAACTCAAAATAAAAGAATGTGATTCATTAGTTGAGGTGTTTGAATCGGGAGAAAAATTGGGTACAAGAAAAAGGGATGCCACTGCACATTATGAGTTGGAAAAGATGAAACTAAAAAATTTACCAAAACTGAGGCACATATGGAAACCCAATATCACGGGGCTTGTAAGCTTCTTGAAGCTAACGTCAATTACTATTAGAAATTGCAACAGTTTGAAGAGCTTGCTCTCCCATTCCATGGCCAGAAGTCTTGTGCAGCTTCAAGATCTAAATGTTTATCATTGCAAGATGATGGAGGAGATAGTTACAAAGGAAAAGGAGAATAACGAAGGAGGCAGTAAAATCAAGATATTATTTCCTCAATTGAAGACTTTGGATCTTAGTCATCTGCCAAATCTGGAATGTGTTTGTTCAGTAGATTATGACTATGATATCCCATTGTGCGATTTTGGAGAGGACAAGGATGTGAATAATAAAATTCATATTTTATTGCCACAATTACAGGAATTCTATCTTCTAAGAGTGCCGAAGCTAAAGTGTTTTAGTTCAGGAGCATACGACTATGACATCATGATGGGTTGCAATGGAGAAATAATTGAAGAGAGTCCAAACATCATAAATGTAACTCTAAGCACACCCAACCTTCATAACGTAAGAAGAAATGTATGGGGGCGGAGGCCAATGCGCACACTGGGAGACCTTAACTTGACAATACATTATATAAAAAATTCAGAGAAATACAAGGTATGTATGTATGTACACACATGAGTTAGTTTCCCAACTCTTCTTGAGTATATATATGGATTTCCTCAATTAATTAATTAATTAATTAAGTAATATGAATTTAAAGTAGACATACATTGGTGATTGTGCAGGTGGAGTTGCAAAAATTAGATACATTTAAAGGTATTGAGCAAGATGAAGGGCTTCTGGGCTACATCACAAGAGAAAGCGACCTTGTTATTGAAAGCTGTGAGAAGCTATTGAATTGCATACCATCTAACATGAGTCATTTATTCTCTCATTTGTGGTATCTCACTGTGCGAGAATGTGGCAGCTTAGATGAGATATTCGAATCAACAAATGATCATTACGAATACGAAAGGGATAGTATAATTCAATATGAATTGAGGTACATAAAGTTGGACCGGCTGCCAAAATTGAAGCACATTTGGAAAAATCATGGTCGAGTTTTAGGCTTTCAGAATTTAACACATCTAATTATCAAACAATGCCATGGTATGAAATATGTGTTTCCGGATGTTTCCATGGTCGGAAGCCTTCGTATTCTCGAAGTGAGTGAATGCAACAAGATGGAGGAGATCGTCCAAAGTAATTCTAATTCTAATTCTGTAGAGTCAAAAGAGGCTAAGATCGTATTCCCATCTTTGGAGTATATCAAACTTGAGAAGCTACCCAACCTTACTTGTTTCTCTCCAAGCTCTTGCTCTTGCTATTTTGAGTTGCCTGAATGTCAGCGCATAACAGTTAAAGAATGCCCAAAGATGGAGACCTTCTCTTACGATGGACCCGTATATACTCCAACTCTTGGATCATTATTTCTGGAGCACATGAAATTTGGCAGAGACGAAGAGTTGAATGAGGTGATACGACGTCGTAAATGATTATAGGGGCGAGTGTTGGTGTTGGTGTGAGGTATGATTTAAGAAGGAATCATGATTCATTTTGAATTTCAGCATTTCACATTTCATATTCACGTTTCTCTCTCTCCACTACCTATGCCTCCTTCCTCAGCCATTCTTTCTCCACTTTGCTCTCTTTCCATATATATATATATATATATATATATATATATATATATATATATATATATATAGGGTTTTATAAGAGTTATGTTGTAGGAAAAGTGATTGTGTAATGTTGTAGAGATTCGTTTTGCGTGCCTTAATTTTTTATTTATTTTTTTGTTTTAAAAAGTGTGGACCCCACAAAATGTTGTGAGTGTAGAAAAGTTTGTTGTGTTATGTTAAAGGATAAAATGAAAACCCATATATATATATATGCTCAGATTTATGTTTTCATAAAAACCCATCGTGCCCATGACTATGATGTTTTGATATATTGGTAATCAAATGATTATTTGGGTGTCCTTATACATTTTCCTGATCTTGTGTGCTGGATATGATACTTGTTGAGTTTCAATTTGTGGGTTCATTTGGACAACAATAAAGCAAAGAAATAGAATGCTGTAGGAATTATCTCTAGTAACGAATGCTGTGTGGAATAATATATTACAAGTCAAACTGTAAAACAAGCTTTATTACAAGAACTTTGAAATTTATTATTTATCCCTTCTTGTCATATATTTTGTCCGGAAATCATCACCATAATGCTCACACCCTATGCAGGCTGTGCTTCAAATCTTAAGTAATTTAATTTGTTGCTTTCTGGTGTCGAGCGAATGAGATGATTCTTTAACGTAGTGCCATTTTAGGATAAGGAATGAACTCATGAAATGACATCATTGTGTAAATAATTATGTTTTTTTGACAAATTTTTCTTTCTTTTCTTAACTCCAAATTTGTTAAGTGAGATGTTTGTAGGGACGAATTTAATTCTACTTATGATCAAAATTGCAAATTTTATGTTCCTATAATGTGTACCTTATCATTTCGTCCATATTAGAGGAAAATGTGATTTGTGAGGAATATTAAACTAGACTTTTATAAGAGTTATATTGTAGGAAAAATGATTGTGTAATGTTATAAAGATTCGTTTTGTGTGCCGTAATTAATTTTTTTTTTTTTGCTTCAAAAAGTGTAAGCCCCACAAAATGTTGTGTGTATAAAAAACTTTGTTGTGTTATGTTAAATGACAAATGCAAACTCCATTAAACTATAACGATAAATGATCTCCTGAGTGAGTGAGTATTAAAAGGAAATTATTGTAATAATTTAATTATGAGTGAGCGGGTACTTAGAGGAATTTTTTTCTTTCTTCCATGACCTCCTCCGATCTCCATTCTCTCTCTTAACTTTTTTTTTTTCTTTTTCTATTATGTTTCAGTTATTATTATCAAACGGTTATAAATAAGTGAAAAGAAGTGATAAATTTACGGGTTTGATGTTTTTGATTTAAAATTGCATGAGTTGTGTTATTTTAGAAGAGAGAGATAAGCACAAAGAATAAAATTCATTAGGAAGAAAGTGAGTGATTTTATTTAATTTAAATTTTAAATAAAAAATATTATTTTATGTTTATTTCTTAATAATTTTACGTCACTTAAAATAATAAATATTTTTCTCTAAATTTAATTTGATTGGTGAAAACTATATTCTACCCCTAATATTACTATTATTATTTTCTAGTTTCATACAGGGTCGAAGCATTGCCTTTGACACCCAGTTTCATACATAGATTTCGATGGGCATATATATTCAAACATAAGAGAGAAGAAGAGACATGGCCATGTAGTAGATTCTCTTGTTGTTGTTGTTGTTGTTGAAGATGGGAAGAAGTAGGCTTGTGGTGTCGGATTTTGTTATGTCTTTCATGTGGGTATGGTCTGGTGTTCTGGTTCGGATTTTTGTCTTCAAAATTCTGGGGTTGGGTCATGGTAACGGTCATCTCGGTGAGTTTCTGAAGGCTGCGTTCTCCGTCGCCAACATGTTCTTCTTTGCGTTCCTTTCCAAGGTTACCCGTGGTGGGGCCTACAATCCCCTTACCGTCTTTGCTGATGCTATCTCTGCTGATTTCAACAATTTCCTTTTCTGTGTTGGTGCCAGAATTCCCGCTCAGGTTGTGGTTTTCCAGTACTACAATTCCGGTTCCTTTCTTTTTCTTTTTCTTTTTTTCTTTTTTTAATTTTTGATAGTTTGGTTGATGGATTCTCTTCATTGAATTTGTGTTGTGGATTCTGTCTCTAGTCTTGTTATAAATTAAATGATGCAATTTTTTTGTTTTGGTCTTCTTTTTTTAATATCTTTGAGTAGGTTTTGGGTTTGAAATGAGCATGTTCCTGTTGTTGTTGTTGTTGTTTTACACCTATGTAATTCTTGTTGGCTATGCTAGAAAGCAACCCCATTACTGTTTTCTTTCCTTTAGTTGATTGTTGTTCATTTTCTGGGTACAGGCACCCTGGATAAGAGAGGAGAATAGGGGTCTAGTGGAGGATTGAACCTTTAACATCATCATCACACCCTTGTCTATGTTGGGGCCACTGCCAGTTGAGCTACAAGCTTTTTGGCATAGTTTCTTGTTTTTTGTATTTCTTCAATAAGTGTTCTGACTGTTTCTTGTTAATAATATTTGCAAATTTACAAGAGTGGGCCTCTAAATTGATGGCTGATGGTCTTTAGGATTGAATACGATAACAACAATAAAAAGGGCAAATACTGATACACAAGGCTCTTCGACCTTGCAAAGGTAGGGACCAAAGTCTTCCTAGACTTGAACTCGTGATTACCACTGTTCCAAGACTTGCCCTCTAATATGATAACAGTAGTAATTGAAAAAAAATTCTCATATGAAAATAAAATAGGTCCTGTCCTCTTCCCTTTTTTTTTTCAATTTACTTATAGCTCACCATTAAAGGGGGTGAACCGGAACAGTAGTAAAGCTGTTCTTTCATGACTGAAAGGTTATGGGTTTGAATCTAGAAAATAGTCTTTTTGCAATTATGCAAGGGTAAGGTTGCGTACAAGGATTGCCTCCACCCCATACTCGCTAGTGGGGTTTAACGGAGAGTGGTTTTTTTTACTTATAGCTCACCATTCTTTGTAGTTATGTAAGGATAAAATTACGTACAAGTATTGTCCTCTCCACATCCTTGCTAGTCAAGGTTTAATGAGGAGAGGTTACTTATAGTTCACCATTATTTGAGGGATTTGAAGGAAGGCAGTTATCTAAATGTAAACATTTGCTTACACTTTGTGCAAGTTTTTACTTTTGAATGCTGTAGGAGTATTTATACTTTTTGTCGAATACTTGTGGCCTAGGCTACAAGGCTAGGAAATTGTGTTTGGATATTTAAGAAGCACTAGATTGAATTTTAAGCATCAAAGAAAATCAAGGGTGCTAGTGATTAATTGATAAAACAGGACATTTGATATATATTGCCAGATGACTTTTGGAGGTATCTCATCTGTCGCATTGTCCACCCTGATTGGGTTGGGGCATGTGATGGTGAGGTCAAAAATAAAACCTCGTGATTTAGCCCTTTTGTACTCTGTCTTCCTTGGTCCTCTGTGATTTTTCTGATATATGTTTCTGCTCTTTTAAGCAGATTACACGTACCTATCAGCCTTTGTGTAGTAACAGAGAGTTTTTGTTTCTTGTGCACACAGTCCCCCTCTCTGCCTCACACACACACACACACTAGAGAGAGAGAGAGACACTGTCCCTAGGACAATATGCTTATATATTTCCTGAAGTGGGCTTATTGCTTGGCTTGGCTGAGCTTCATATTACTGAGATACTGCTGGAATTCTACTTTAGAAAATTCTCATTAAATGTATTTGAGCTCGTGATTGAATTTAATAAATTAATTAATGAAAATGATGATTTTAAATCTGTATCTTCTGTGTTTTGTCAAAATGGTGGTGTGATTGCTTTCAATATGTTATTGCCCCTGACCTCTACCATATCCCCAAAGACATATGAAATATGAAAATATTAATAACATTACAACATGCCTATCTTGCTTTATTACGAAGTACACACACACCATTGGCAGCCTTGGGTTATCAAGTTTTATGGAAATCATGTCTTCAGGACAAAGGTTTAATGTCACTATATATAATCTTTTTAAATTTTTGTAAGCATAAAACAAGCAAATATGACAAAGCCTTGCTGCAAAGTCTTTTTTATGTATGTTATTCAACTGAGAAGAGAAACGGATATGCTGTATGCTTCAAGATTTTACACCTTGAAAATTTGCCTAATATGTGTCTTCTGGAGATCAAACACTAGTGATTGTACCCACTATTATTATGGAGGATCTGTTGTGCATGTGATTCAGTATCAGGTCAAAATATGTAGAGTAATGCTTTCCAAACAGAAATGTTTTAATCATGCATTTGATTACGATGAAACTCTCTCTCCTTGGCCTGACTGAATATTTTATTGTAACATCATATCTTACTTGAAGCTCTAGCATTGCTCGGACCAGAATGAGTTGATGAGATACAAAAACAGAGGAAACATAGCAATGCTTAGATATAAGATTCTGCAGAAAACCAGTGTAAATATGGTGATGTCTAATTGTGAGGAACCAGGGGTATTATTTAAATTGACATTGCTCATATGTACAAAGTGTTATATCAAGTTTTAGTATAGCTGGACCATTTTTTTATAAATCTCAACCAATGAAGTGTGTCTCAAACTCAACTTGAATTGAAGATTATCATTCTAATATGTATGGTTTTAATCTCTCCAGGTGGTTGGATCTATTGTTGGAGTTAAGCTTATTATTGACACGGTTCCTGAAGTAGGACGGGGACCAAGTTTGAATATTGACATTCATCGTGGTGCATTGACAGAAGGATTACTAACATTTGCAATTGTAACCATTTCACTTGGTCTTGCCATAAAAGTTCGTGAAAGTTTCTTCATGAAGACTTGGATCTCCAGCCTCTCCAAGCTAACACTTCATATACTTGGTTCTGATCTGACTGGAGGTTGTATGAACCCTGCGTCAGTAAGTAATGCTGTATCTGAATTTATAAGTCATTACTTTGGTCAGGGAACTTTGGTTACATGAACCATAGAAGAAACCTTTGTTGTTTTCCTGCTAAAATAAGAAACCTTGTTTGACTTGTTTAGGTGATGGGATGGGCTTATGCTCGAGGGGATCACATAACAAAGGAGCACATCCTTGTATACTGGCTTGCCCCCATAAAGGCAACTATTTTGGCAGTGTGGACATTCAAATTGCTATTGAGGCCTGTAAAAGAAGATAAAACGGGCTCAAAAAGTAAATCGGATTGAAGAAACTCCATTTTGTGTGAAATGTCTGTTTCTATCTCGCATTCAATCATTGATCACAGTGTGTTATATTATGAACTATTGGTTTTTGTGTACTATTTCGTTCCCTACCAATTGTCTTGTTTGAGTTCTTGCACGTCTCGTGCATGCTCATGCATGACTCATGCATTGTACTTTCCACCATAATTTATACAAGTAACATATTACACTACATTTTCTATCTTTTCCTTCTGAAGAACACCCCAATCAAATTTCTCATTGGGTATGTTAGACATGGTTCTCAGTCCCACCCCAATACAGGTACTTCATTCGAAAGCTATATAAACCAAGAGATCCAAACTGCAAGCTTTCTGGTCTTAATGCCACTGGTAGTTGGTGGTGGCTGTGGAGGGAAAAATACATTTTTTTTTTCTTCTCTAATAGAGGAGCTATGATACACAGACTAAGCTGAAAGACAAAGAAACTTAAAAATGGAAAAATGTTCCTCAACCGTACAAACGATGAATTTTTCAAATGCAGAACTCCAATGCATCATCATAGTTGACAAGCTTAAAAAAGTCAATACTCTTTGCAATTGTCCAACTATGGTTGTCTTAGCATAATTTCTTTCTTGATTATTGAGTTTTTCATGACAAATCACATTAATCAATTGGTTTCCAATTTTAAATTCAATTCTTCATCCTAATAATTGAATATTAAGGCATGGTTATCTCATTGACTTCGACTTCAGCACTTTAGAAATGGGAAATTGTACCATTGTATTTTATAATAAGAGCATTTGAATATAAATTTTTTTGTACGCACATAGAAGATGAGTAATACAAAACCATTTTCTAATCTTTAATACGATATCACTCACCATCTTTATAATTGAATATTAAGGAATGATTTGCTCATTAGGTTTGACTTCAATCCAAAAGCAAACCTTAATATTCAATTATAAAGGTTCTGAACTCAAGCATGGTGTATTTAGAGTACCAATTTAAATATTTACTTTAACAATAATTATAATGACTTATGCCAAAAGGAATCAATTTTTGGTGTCCCTTGAATATTGTTTCCCAAGGAATCATTTTGTGGGGTCCTTTCTATACTGTTGCACGTTGGCACCTAATACTTGTATTCACATCCTTCCTTTTTTTTATAAAAGAAAACTATGCTGAATTTTTTGCTGCAATTTTTTTAAGAAACAGCATGTGCTGTCTAAATAGCAATATGAAAGCATGATTGTTAAACGCATAACACAGTTCGACCAACCAAAATCAACAGCTAAGGTACCGGGTTTGAAGGCAACATGATCAATGTTTGCTGTTTAGACCTTCCAATTGGATGATAGTGTGAGGAAAGAAAACATCTCCTGATAAGTAACTCATAAGGTGGAGATTTCTACTGAACTTCTAAAAAAACAAAAAAATAGATACAAAAAAAGGTTGAGAGAAAAGATGATTAAAACTAAAAAGGACCTCATCATGGTAAATTTTTCCTTACTGTTTGTGGCAGCAGTAATAGTAGCACTCAAGATGAACATTATGCTGCAGATCAAAAGGAAATAAGGAATTTATACACAACTTCAGTACACAAGCTGTGGTTCAAACTCTGCCAAATCTACAGATCCTGACTCAATTGGTGGCATTAGATATGTAGCCAAGAGTTCAGAGGCCAGGGCAGCAATCAGGGGGATCCTCTTTAAGTTCTTCACCACAGGAATGTCATCACTCTCACCAACAGCAACAAGCTTCTCATTTATCTCCACCATCCGGTCCAACTTCCGCTTGAACTCGGGGTTCTCAACATCAAGAACAGCTGGGAAAATCCGAGCTGTAGTGCGGTTTGTCTGCAAAAACAATCCAGAAATGAAGCTTCAGTAACTGCTTGTGATTTATGAGTTCAGCATTTGTTCTTTGTTGATCAAATCTTGTCACATATGTTTCTAAGGGTAACTTAAGGCTCCAGATTTCTTTCATTTGGTAAGTCAGTTACCAAATTCATCAAGAAGTATTTGAGAATGACTAGAAACAAATATTGATTATACCAAATAGAAATAAAAGGTAACACAAATTTAAATGGTTGTCAATGGTCATTATAGCAGATATTATAACACAAACTAACCTCAATGATGACATGCATGTCAAATTCTTTTGTGTTAAGTCCAATGCCTTCATAGAAATCTGTGCGTTGGCAATCATTGAGATACATCGTGACGTAAACCTGCAGGACAAATTTGATAATTATGTCTTAAGTAGGGTTATGATGGAGAATGACCACAAACTTATAATGAAAGACATGACAAATGTGATCTCTATGGTTAATAATAATATAAATTGTTTCATGATTCTAACGAATGCGTCTGAATGAGATTTTGCATATTGGATGTACTTGTCATCCATGTTCAATATTGGCTAAGGTTTCTAGTATTCTTTATGCCTACTTTTCTCTTGTAATCTCTATTACACTCTTTATAGCTGCTTAACTTAGGAACGAATTGGCACTAGCTATTGAGGTTTCAACTTAAGAATGTTAAAGGAAGACAAAAAATTGTATTCAAAAGAAAAATTTACCGAGAGACAGAAGAATCTAGCCCACAACTTTGCCTTCCAATCATTCAGAAATTGTGGCTGTGCCTTCATCAAGGCAGAGAAGAAGTCTCCATGCCTATTTTCATCCTGGCACCAGTTCTCAAAGTACTTAAAAATGGGATAACATTGGTATTGGGGATTTTCCTTGAGATGTCTGTAAATGGTTATGTATCTCCAGTATCCAATTTTCTCAGACAAATATGTAGCATAGAAGATAAATTTGGGCTTGAAAAATGTATATTTTCTAGCTTTTGTCAGGAAACCCAAGTCCAAAGCCAAATTGAAATCAGATAAACCCTTGTTCAGAAACCTGCAAAGAATGAAAAGGATGAGGGCATGCACTACCAAAAAAAGATATTAAATAGAAAATAAAAGGAGAAGAATTAAGAATTAAAGGCACAAGGTGTGTCTATACCCAGCATGCCTGGCTTCATCCCTAGACATCAGAGAGAAAATCTCAGCCACCACAGGATTGGTTTTCTGTAATATCAACATCCCAAGCAATAAATCAGAACAAGAATAACAGACCACAAGTGCAAACGAAGAACAATCTTGTCCAACATAGCCCATTACAGGACATGAAATACAGCCGAATTACATTAAACTTCCCAAATAATCATAAGACCATAACAAAAATTATCTTAATGATGACTTATATTTCCCAAGTCCCCAAAATATTTTCTTTGACACTTCTCTGAAAAAAAAAAATTTTTTTTTTTTTATAATTTTCCATTTGAATTAATTAAAACCACAGTTATCAATTATGCCAAGTTGAATGTTGAATCAGATTCAGGAGAAATAAAGAAAAGAACCAAACCTTGAGCCTCCTTCCAAGCTCTTTGTAGAGAAGGAATCCAGAGAATTCAGCAGTGCAAGACCTCTCAAGGAACTCAACAAAGATCTGTCTGAGAGGGCCTTCAAGTTTGTCAGCAGCTTCCTTGAACTCCTTGTTCCTAACAAAGTGAGTCTGGTTGTAGTCAGTTTTGAACTCCTGAAGCAAAGCTTCAAACTCAGCCTGGTTCAGGTTCTTGTTGATCTCAGTGTTGAAAAGGGTCTCCATTTCATCAAAGTCAGTGGTGTAGAACCTTGGTGTCAAAAGGGTCTCCTTAATGGCAGTTTTGTTGACTTTCTTGCTTGGCTTTGTGGCTGTTGCTGTGGTGGGGGTGGTGGACATTCTTATGATGCTGAACTTTGAGTATGAACCCATTCTAGGACTCCCAAATTTGGGTGTAACATTGCTGAATTTGGAAATTGGTTTCACAAGTGCCATCTCTGCTGCCATAATTGGAGCAAAACTTTGGTGGGGTTATGAGATGTTCGGAGGAACCAAAGCTCTGAACTTGAGATTGAGAACTAAGGAGTTCTTAGGACAAGTGAGAGAACCATAACTTAGGATATGAAGAGTGATAGAATCTCATCCTATGAAATCTTTGAGCGTTAATTGAAACTTGACACGTGGCAGGAATTTTTAAGTTTCTCCTTGTAACATGATTGGTTGTGATGATTACATGTGGATGAGAACTTGTGGCTTCCATCTACTTTTGTATTGGATACTTGTTTTAGGTTTTAACTCAAGTTTGTTTAGATTATTGTTTGCGGAATTAGCATAGGATGAAACTGATTTTTTAATTTTTGATGTTAATTAAAATTGAATTTAAATAATTTATGTATAAAAAAATTTATCGGCAGTAACATTATAATTTCAGACTAAAATCTTACTAAACGTGAAGTAGAATATTTTAACAACCAATTAGGATTATTACCAATCAATTTTTCCGTTAGATCAATTATGTTGATTCAGCGATTATATTTATTTTCATCTTTGTATGGTTATGATTTCTCATATTTAATGTGAAAGCATTAAATATGAGAATTGTAACCATACAAAGGTGAAAATAAATATGAAAAATTAAATATGAGAAATCATAACTTTACAAAGATAAAAATAAATATAATCATTAGATCAACATAATCGATCTAACGATGACATTGATTGATAATAATATTGATAGTAACTCTAAATAGTTATTACGATATTCTTTCCCAACTAAACGTACCTCAACTAAGATTTTATCAAATATGAAATTCAATTTGCACTCCGGCAATGTAATTAGATATTTCATTTTTCAGCATTTTCTTTTTCTAGCAATATATATTATTTTTTGAAAAAATATTTGTTAATATAATTTTATGTCTTTTTCTAATATATTATTTGTTAATAAAAATTTAGCAAAATAATAACTATTTTTTTAATTAGTGTTAAAATAATGGTCTAAAAGGAGGAAAGGAAAATAATGACCAAAATAAAGGGTAGCATAATAAAACCAAATCATGAAGGAAATGGAAGGATTTATCCCTGGAGAATTTGCTGCGTGTTGCAATAATAATGCCATCCAACAACAATAATGTATCTGATATTTTTGAAGATTAATGTATACAACTCAGATTTTGTTTTTCTCCGGCCGCAAAAGCACCAGCAATCACGACATAAAGCCAAACAAATTCAATAAAAACCACAATTTCATGACATTAGAGCTAGACCACAAAATTTCCCTTTTTTCTTTATTTCATTTTTTTTTTTAAGTTTCTTCAGCAAAAAAGCACACTCCACGACATTTTATTTCGGGTCAAAAAACGTATATACAGCTCTTGGAAAATTAAACAAAAAAACTATTTTATGTTTACAATCATTGCATATATAAGTATATAACAACGTTAGTAACAGAAGTATTTTTTTTTTTCCAATTATACAAATCATAGTGTAAACTTTTATTTCCCTTCAGTTCCCTCTTGGTTTAAAAACAAAGAACATAAATTAATTTCACTCAGCAAGAAAAATATTTCATGTATATACTACTTAATTAAAATGAGATTATTAGAAGATAAAAAGTGTAATTATTCCTTACCAAATGAGTTTAGTGAATCAATAAGAAATCATTTCCAACCCGATCAAATTGAACTGTCTTTTCCCTTTCATAATCCTAGATTTAAGTTTGATTGAGTGGAACTTTTCCTAAACAAAATTTTCAAGGTGACATATCATTTTAACTTTGTTCCTTTAAGATTTCAGCCTTCTCTAACGAGAACCTGAGGAGTGGAAACATACATTGCATTTTACAAAGAGAAATCAATGCACTACTTACACAAATTCTAAATTTCTACAGGCAAATAAAAAACAATCCAATCTAAATCTTAACAAATGGAAGAAATAGGCACACCTAGAACAATACCTAACATAAACTTAGCCAGACAATCTTTCTGCATTATTCTTTAATGCAAGTGCCATTTTACAATTTACAACAAACGCCATAATTATATACTAAAATGAGAGAGAAGGTGCAAGGTCATTCTCCCCATTTCCATCATGAATAGCATCAATCAACTTGCATTGAGTCCTGAATATTGGAAATTCTGACAAACCATTAATTGCTGCAATTATGGAAGAAAACTATCCTCTGTGTCCTACTTCAAGAGAGGACCTGCAGCAAACCTGAAATAAAGACCAATCAAGGAAACAGCTCTAGTTTGAAACTCAAATCACTTTTATTTTTTTTGGTTCTTTTGCAGTACATTATGCATATTCAGCATGAGGGTATTTTAACCAGATTATAGTATGATATATAGAGCCATGTTACTTAAGATTTAAGTCAGAATAAGCACTTTTCACTGCCAAGGACAAGGATCAATCTTAAGAAACATCTCTTTCATGGACAAATGCTGGCTTAAGCCAGAGTTGGCAATACCCAAAATTTTCAAAAAAAAAAGGGGGGGAAGACTGAGAAGAAAACCTCATCCAATAGAAATTAAATGCTGCCATTGTGGCTTAACATGAGTTATTCCTATCGTCAGGTTCTTTAAATGCATTTGTTCCATCTGCAGTAATTGGCCTTTGGGCAGATTCTCTGACTCCAACCCCAGCATGAGAGCTATGCACAGACTCTTCAATTCCATCTTCAGTTGTGCTGATTTGGAAATTTAAAACTGTAGCAACTGAGGTTCTGGCTGAGTCCTTTATGTCTTCCTCAACACTATAGAATGGATCAAAAGAAGGTTGTCCTTCCTCATCTGCAAACCTCAAGTCATCTTCAAAATTATCAAAATCAAAATTCCGCAGAAGTTCAGGAATTGGAATACCATCATCTTCTGCATGCATAGATCCCATTTCAATGTCAATTTTCTCCTTTGGACTCAAAATTCCTTGCATAATATTTGGTGTCAAAGACTCGGCCATCATATGTTCATCCTCCAGCACAAGTGATCGAAAATTATTCTTTGAAATGGGAATACTGGAACAAAGTGTTTCTCTAATATTTCTCAGTGATCCCCTATTGTATGGGTTCCCCTTCTTATCATATTGGTACCGAAAGTTCTCATATGTTGTCTGCAAGACAATAAAAGCAAATAATAATAATTCAGCTTGAACTAATAAACAATCTAATATATAAACAAAACAATCTACGAAGATAATGGCCATATGGACAAGTCTTTGACTATGAAAGTCCAAGTAGAAGCATTTATCAGTCCACTTAAACCCTGCAAATCAAATTTATAATGATCACTCAAAGAAAATGGAGTTATCCTAAAATGGCCAAACTCAACATGATGAAAGAATTAAAAGTTGAGGATAAACCTCAAACCTGAATTCTGCATGACCAAAGAAAAAATAGATGTAGTCATATTCTTGGTTAAGATCAAAATCGAAGTTTGGAGGCCAAAATTTAATTACCTATCTAATCTGGAAAGGAAAAAAATAAAAATAAATTCAAGTAAGCAGCTAAGACATCTGTTTTAAGTTTGATATGCCAGTATCCAACATCTTGGATTGCTTTCTCTTTCCCATTTAGAAGTCGTTTTGGAAGTTCATCAGAAAAACTGCACAATCATGTTATTTAATTTTATAAAACCATCCGTACTCTTGCAAAAGTATTAATATTGTTTATTCCGCTACAGTTGATGTCAACTAGATATCCCAATGTCATCAAGAGTACTTTATTTATCCAGAGCTAGCACAATAAAAAAAAAAATCATTTTTCCATGAATTCGGGAAAAGTAAAGATGAACTTGACAAGTATATTAGCTTTTTTAAGTTAAATATCTACTTCAAACTCAGCTATAGTACCTAGTGTTTTATTCTTCTCTCACCTTTTCTCCATTTTCCTTCCTCTTGGATAATAATAATAATAATAAAAAAAAAAATCTTTTATCATTTTCATTATTATACTTATCCTCTCCTACTAAGTTGTTCAATAAACTTCTAGTTTATTGTACCTATCATGAATTAACTCTTCCAAAAGCTTAATTTGTTAGATGAGGACACGTGAATGGTTTTATATTATATCTCTAACACGTCTCCTCACACAATAACCCTTTGATCTTGAAACATGGACAATGCACAGGCCCATCAACTTTATGCTGAAATTCAACTTTTTTTTTTGAAAAACGGGGCCGGCAAGGATTGAGCTCTAGACCACTTGACCATACAGGCTCTGATACCATGTCATGAATCAACTCTACAAAAAGTTTAAGTTTTTAGGTGAAGACACATTAATGGTCTTATATTACATCTCCAACAATACCACAACCAGTGTGTCACTTAAAAATTGATTAAAATTCCTGAACTTCTAGCTTTTTGAGCCAAAATCAATTTACAATTTCCTTCACTAAACCCTATTAAATTATATGTTCCTGTCAGTTATTAGTGATTTTGATGCTAGCAATGTTTGAAGCCATAGAAGAATAGTTTTTTGAGCTTCCAACTAAAAGAGGGTTGCTAAAGAACAGTTAATCACGCATTTAAATCTATGCATCTAGGACCTGAACAATAAATTAACATTATAATTTTTTTAGGTGAATTTGTCCATATGAAATTTTTAGCGATACCATAGGAGGAAGCAAAGAAATAAAAAAACGTAAAGCATATGTTTGAGATGAATCAAGAATCAGAAATCATTAAAAATTTCTTCACATTTTGAGAAGTAAAATAGTTACCTGGTTTGTACAAATGAGATAGAAATGGAAAGCTGTAAGGCCACCAACAAACCAGACAGCTATGAAGCAGTATACTGTGAGAAAATCTGAGACATAATCATGTGATATTGACTTCCAAGCATTATTCTGAGTAAGATTGATACAAGAGAACACGAAGATATATATGCACAAAATGGTTGATGTTGAAATAAACATGAAGAACCACCGATAGTTTCGCTGCAATTATATAAGCATGTAAGAAAACTGTTAGTTCTTGTAAGAAATAAAATGAAGGAGAATATTTGGACACTATTAAAATCCAACAATTCATATTGCTACTTCATATTGAATATAACTTCCTGTTGTTTTTCCATACATATATTTCAAACCAATTAAGCCAAGGCTAAGGGATCTCTAAGAAGAAGATATATTTAAACTAGGCGTTCTTCTCTCTCTCATCCTCTCCATAAAGGATAGGAGGGAGTTACATGCAGCAAGACCTATATACAGGTAATCATCATAGCCCCTAGCAACTGAAAATCAAAATGGTCCTTGATCAAAGAAACACTGCCTGAGCACAATCATATAGAAGATTGTCTAAAAACACTAAGAAAAATCTACAAGGCTGAGAACATTATGATTTATGCCCACTCTCCTGCTTATTTCCTTATGCATCCCAGTTGTATTATTAAGAAAATGATATCATTGTATACAGTTAATCATTGTATTTTAGATGTTCTTAGAGATTCCCTAGTTTCAGCACCATTACAATTTCTCCAATGGTATTACCTTGCGCAATTCAACTTACTCATGGCTTCTACTAAGGAAATGTGATTTGCCAAGAAAGCTGCTGCATATAGCAGTAACTCGTAAAGGAAATTTTGTATTTGAAAGGAAAATTTGATAAGAAGATTAACTAACTCAATACGCAAGCATGCTGGAAAAAAACACAACGTGCATTACAAATTGTTGCTCAATTTGCTTCATGATCAGGGAAACATGGGTTAATAAATCCAAATTATCTTCCACCAGAGGAACATGGAGATCCCAATATTTAGTAACATGTCAAATGCAAAATTTCCTCAATTCAAAATCAACATAAATTTGCAAGTTTATTTTTTTAAAAGCGATCCATGACATGATAATTGAGCAATATGCCATTCGATTTAAGGTAATCATCACTCAACTCAGACAAATTTTTTAAAAAAAGGAATAGCATTCAGAGCCTCAGATTTTCCTGCAAACACTCAATGATCTTTCAATTGTGAGGTTTGAGCGTAAATTTGATGCACTTACAGTTGGCCCATTGTACATGGCTCAACCACTGATTGAAGGAGCTCGTAGTCAACTAGAGTTGTGGCCTAATAAATATAGCCCAATTGTTGAAAAATGCAGTGATTTAAAATATAACAAATTACAATCAAATCCAAGTCTCAATAAAGCAGCAGATGTGATTGTGATTTGTTTGGGAAGAAAAAGAAAGCAACATAATGTGATTGTGATTTGTTTGGGAAGAAAAGGAAAGCAACATATTTCGCGTGATTTGAGATTAAAGATTTGGGATGTATTTTGAATTATTTATTTGTAATTTTTTATTTATTTTTAGATTTTAATTACTGTTATTTTATTTTAGGAAGTTTTATTACTTTTAGAATTTTAGATTTAGAATTTTGAATCAATTTGTAATTAGTCTATAAAAGGGTGCTTACGACCCTTATTCTAGGAGTTGAATTTTGTTATTTGATAATTAGAAATTGAGAATCGGAGGGTTACTCTTTTGAAAAAATCCTAACTTTCTGTTAAGCCACTTTTCTATGCGCTTTCGGCATTATTTGGTAATCAGAGCTCTGTTTGTCACATAAATGGCTGAACAGAACAATGGCGGTCGAGGTCAAGGTCGTGGACGACGGGGTTGAGGCGGCGATAGAGGGCATGTTAACACCTGATGTGCCTCTGGCAATGTGGTTTTTCAGTATTAAAATTGATTAGAATTGAGTCATAAGAGAGCAATTTAAATACATATTTGCTATTTATATTGATTCTTTCTATGTCAATAATATTCACCTTTTGGTTGTGTTTTTACAGGAAAAAGAGGAGTGAAAATTACAAATTATAAAAAGCCTGTTGACGCGACTCCACACACAGGAAAGTACCATGTTGCATCATGTCGCATAGGCCAAAGTCCAGAGAAATGGCGCAACTTGGAGCCACAGTGGCGCAAGTTAGCGCCATGTTGCATAGTACAAAAGTCCAGAGAATTGGCGCTAGTTGGCGCCAGAATGGCACAAACTAGCGCCACCATGCCAACCAGCGCCCAAGTCATGCTAAGTGGCGCCAAAGTGAAGGCATCATGGCGCCAAAGGGCGCCCAAACTAAGAGGAAAGTTGGCGCCAAGTGGCGCCCAAAAATGCAAAGGGTGGCGCCAACTGGCGCCAAGTCACGAGCATTCAGTTCCGACTTTTCATTTTGAGACAGTAGCGCGGCGCGAAGTGGCGTCAAACCGGCGCCAACTGGCGCCGGGTTGCGAGAAAATAATACCGTGTTGCCGTGGGGGTATTTTTGGAAGGAAGAAAAGAGGATTATAAATAGGATCCTCATGACAGAATTAGGGATTAAGACCTATTCTTCTGAAGAGAGACGACGGTGGTGCTCAGAGAGGATTCCTAGGATCAAGTTCTTCTTCTCCTTTCTCCTTAAATTTTATGCTTTTGAATATTGGATTATTTTTAGCCATGATTATGTTTGGCTAATTTACTTTTTATTGTAGTTAGGGTCACGAGCCCTATGTGAACCCTTTTTATGCTGGATTGATTTATAATTCTTCGTTTATATAATTATCTTTATCTCTACCCTGTTCGTAATTTATATTTTCTTTATTAGAATTGACCACTCTAATAGTTGATAATAGTCTGAGGGTTAGAACTCTAGATAGGAATATTGAGGTTTTCATCCTGAAAGGGGGTAGGATAACGGTTCGTATGCATGCTAGGAATAGATGTGTATTGAATTGCGGATGCCTAAATTATTAAGTTCATTGCTTAATTTTCATGAGGGGTTGCTAAGGGATTAGGATTCCAATTGAGATTAAAGGGTTAAATTGCCAAGGGATTGGATTTAACTAATTATTTTAGATAATAATTTATCCGAGTAATTTTATAAATGAATATTGTAAGTCAATCCAAAATAAGAAGTGGGGATCATAAGGTGAGTGCGCTCTAGCTACAATGCTTTTCATACATTTAGAAAAATCAATTCTTATTTTTATTGTCTATTTCTCATAAACAAAAATTACAAAAATAAGTCTTTAATTTCAGTTCTCAATTTCAAACCAATCGAGAATATTTGTCACAACCTTTGAACTCTTCCATTCTTAAAAGGAACAATTAATTGATATTCGACCCAATCCCTGTGGAGACGATACTTTACTTATCATTATATTACTTGTGCGATCGGTATACTTGCCGAAAGCATCAACACCCTTAACGTCGACGGCAAACAACCACACATTGACGTGCGACACACCATAATTGTAGCAATGGCTGCTACATTGGCAGAACATGGTAGGCGAATTCAGGAGCTCGAACAACTATTTGCCCAAACACAGTTGGACGAGTCAGATGAAGGAAGGGAATCTGAAAGATCATCTCATGAGGAGGAAAGGAGCAAAAACTCATTCTGGAATTGGAATGAGGAGGGACAAGGACGAAGTCAACCTCGAAATCAATCCTTTTTTGCTAATATTGGGGTGAAGATTGAGATCCCGAAATTCGAGGGCACCACTCATACAGATGAGTTTATCGACGGGTCACACACCGTCGAAAAGGTCTTTGACATCATAGACTTGACAGAAGACCAGAAGGTCCCGATCTATGATGAATATGATGAAGAGCAAGATGGTGAGAATCTTGTTATGGATGCTCCAATTTATGACGAGTTCCCTATCTACGATAAGTATGATTGGGAGCAAGACGATGAGAATCCAGAGGTAGAAGAAATCTCTTATATTGATTTCGGTGAAAAATCAGTTATTAGAAATTCTAATATCTCTGACAACAAAGATGAAGATCTACCCCAGTATTATGAATTTGGGGACAACGAGCATAACAACCTCATGCTCCATGGAGATAAAGATTTAACTTCTGATAAAAGTTTAATTGGAGATCGTCAGGGGCAATGGAAATTACCGTTACATCAGACAAAAATTTCCAAAGACGGATCAAAGATGCGATCATTGAACCAAACTATGGGCAATAGTCCTTTTGGAATAGTTTATGGGTTTTGTCCAGTTACTCCCTTAGAAGAACTCACAATATTTCTAGTTCCCAAGCAGTTCAATACGAATGCAGACGAGCGTGTCAAGAAAGAATTGCATTCACAAGTCCTAATCTTAATTAGGGAATTTGGTGATATTGTACCAGAAGAATTGCCACCTGGGTTACCACCTGAAGAAGTTCATATCAATGAAGACGAAGCAGATTCGAAGCAGTAACCAATTTGGCTAAACAGAAAGAAGAACGAAACAAGGATTGTGAGAAAATACTATTCTCTTTTCTTAATTTTCTTTAACCAAAAACAACCTAATAACAATAGGGTTCTCCAAGCCTTAAATAGGCAAAAACAAAATAACAAAAAGAGTAAATAACTATAATCATGCGCAATCAAAGGAGATAACGCACAATCAACGCACACTCAAACATAATCTAAAATAACAAAAGGAAATAACTAGTAATTATTAAAATTCCCTAAATAAAGAAATAAATTATGGAAATGCCCAATCCAAGCGAGTCAGCTCGGGTGCATCAAAATTGCTCAGACATAAGTTAGGAAAGTTAATAAAGAAATTACACATCGCAGTAAATACATGTAAGAAACCAGCTAGTAACTTCATCACTGCACTTCAAGACAAATACCAACTTCAGTCACCAAGTAAATTGTAGTCATCAAATAGATTCAGAAGATTAACTGTATCTACTTTCAAATTTACTCTATAATTCTTTTAAACTGATAAAAAAAACGGAATACTATCTCTCTTAATGTTTCTAAACTTCAACTTTTGCAGTAAAATGGACTTACTATTCCGATGCACTGGCCAACCCAGGGACAGTGATGATCAAATCTCTGGACACAGTTGTTGCATATAGAACAATGAGAAGTACGAGGAGGACGATAAAGCAAGCATGTATCGCAGAACTTCACTTTCACTGTGTGACCATTAACAATTACATCTTTAGTTCGAGGTAGTTTCAGATGAGGGGTTGTACCATTAATCCACTCCATGGAAGGAGTAGGTATATCAAGTGACTCATCAAATTCAGGAGGTCTTGAATTTCTAGGGACAATTCCAGGATCTCTCCCGGAAGTCATGAGGAGGAATATTAAATCCTGCAAGTGAGTTGTCCGATATATCAGCTTTTACTTTCAAAATAAGAAAGGAGCTCCCATCATAAGCTATAAGGAAAAAATAAAATTAAAAGGATCAAGGATCAATCGATCATGAGCATTAAAATGAAATAGTGTCATTATATTTAGAAACAGTCTGATGAAAAGTGTTAGAATATTAGGATCCTTATTGTTTTAGGAGACTTATTATCATAGGAGTACTTTTGGGCTGGGCTTGTCCTAGTTCAAACTATACTAGAGCTTGATCTTGAAAGTTAGTATAAATAGGTGCGTTGACTTATTGTTTTCTATGTGACACTATCACATCAATATTAAATTATTAATCTGAGTCCTCTTTTCTCTCCTCTTTGTTTTCTCTATTTCCTTCTTTTTCTTATAATCTCAAAATGATATTAGAGCCTCTATGACTAAGTGGTCAAGACATCCATCCTTGTATCCCCTATTATTTATAATTACATTTAAAATTCAGCATAACGTAAAATTGATGTGTATATTATTCACGCTACATTACCAAAGGGCTCTTGCATGAGATATAAAACATTTTCAGGCTTCTACTTAATTGCTTAAGTTATTCATATTTAGGGGAGAAGTTAGATATTTTGTCATAACTAAACAGTTAGAAATATATTCATTTTTTGCCTTACAAATAATAAAACTGATGCACACTACTTAAATAACATTGCAGTTCAGAAAACAAGGGGATCTGTAAACTTTGCAAAATTAATTTTCTTTTTTCAATATTCAATATTATAATTTCTTATTGCCGTATTATTTCATAATCATATCTTATTTATGCATTAGATAACCACATAAAATTTGGTTTTCAATTTTTATATCTGAAAAAAGGTGAAGCACAATAAACGAAAGATAAATAAGTATACTAAAGTAGAGGGAATAATTGAAAGAATGCATGGGTTGAAGACAAGTTTCAGTAAAATCTCCAAGTACAATCTGTCAAGGGCATTTACCAAAACAGTGAGAATTGAACCCACAATCAATACAGGATACCAAAGAGCATCATCGCCGGTTTTCCCATTCTTGATTTTAAGATATATCTTTGCACAAAATGCAATTGCAGGTCCAGCAATTAGGGATGTTGTAAGAAACAGGGAAGCTGCATCAGGACCAAAAACCAACCTCCCACCACAGAGAAACTTCTGAAAAAAAAAAAAAAAAAAAAAAACAGTATTAGTAAAATGTAACATGTGTGTCGTTGCTTCTAGATATCAAATCATACCTAAATAATAGACATTACTTATTTTCAACCCAATACAACAACGTGAAAACTTTTAAATGGTGAACAGTCACAAGCTTAAAAAATCCACAGCCACAACAAAATTTATCTATTGAAATGAAATTTTGATCATAAGAAAAGTGTTCCAATTGAAGAGGCAGTGGCATCTCAACAGCTTCACAACATCAAAACATCATGGACTTACAATTCACATCTGCAGGAGAATGGCCACAAGAAAAAGCACATTGACAGAAAAGGGAGGTCCAAAAAAATCACATTTTTCCATCCAACAGAATTAAAATAAAGACAAACAAGACATAAAGAGTTCAAACTGAGATTGAATTGTGACCAAACATGTAATCAACATCATTAGCAAAATCCAATTTTGAGTCATGAGAACCAATAACAAAATAATTATAAAAAAAATAAAAAACAACAAATAAAAAGAGCAGATAAGAACTCACGTTGCTTCCCCTCCAAACTTGATAAAGCCTCCTTGGGTTCATATTTTGGGCCGCACTGCCAGAAGGAGAAGTCTCCATTGGTAGATTTCTATTCCCAATCATGGCAGCACCACCTCGCGTGTCACCAAAACTGGTCTCTCACCTTCACAAAACCCATAAAACGCAATTCAAGCTTCAACCCAAAATCAGAATCCTCTTAAAAATTTGAGATTTCCTTCTGGGGTTCCTTAAATCAGCATCCTTTTGCAGTGAAAAGGGAAAATGCAGAGAGAGAGAGAGAGAGAGAGAGAGAGAGAGAGATGTTTGTTTTTGTTGATGTTGTTGTTGGGATCACAGCAATTTGAGAATCAAACTGTGACACCAAATCCAAACATGAAAATTTGTGTGCTTGAAGGTATCATCGGAAGACGATAATCTCCATGTCCCCTTTTCTAATCAAATACCTCAAAGTTTTCAAATTTTCTTATTATTTTTCTCTTTCTCTCTCTAAGTTTATATTTTTGTTTCTCTCTCTCTCTCTATCCTTCGAATCCAAAGTGCTGGCTGGCACCTTTGGGGTTCCTGGGCGGATCTTACAATTCTGGCGGCTTTCACGCGCGTAATGTTTCTTATTCCGTTACATAAATATAAATAAAGGTTTTATATGTATGATTTACGTATCATAACTTCACTTTCCTACAGACATTAAAGATTTAGATTCACATATTTTTCTTTATCTTTCATCATTTCACTTTCTCTCTCTTTTATTATGTGTGTTGGAAACTAAACTTATATTATGTAACATAACATTAATAAAACCCTATAAATAATATATTATATAACATAAACATTAATAAAACCCTATAAATAATATGAATGAGTTTTTTTTTTAAAATAAGTTATCAATTATGAAAAAAATAAAATAGAAGTAACAACTTAATTATTATTGATTCTTAAATATTTATAACAACTTTGGTATAAGATAATATTGTTCCGCTGCTTGCTTGTATCACCCTCCTTACTGACACAACTCATATTTACTAAAACAACAGTTCACATATAACATAATCTGTTCAGAAAATTTTATTTAAAATTGAATTTAATAGTAAATCTATATTTTGTACAATAACTATGACAATGTGTAACTAAATATAAACACGTTTCTTTGATGAGAGTGGTGTAGCACTTATATGCCCCAAATCACTATCATCTTCCCATGTCTCTAACCTAAGCCAACTTGCTTTCACACCACAATTTTTTATTTATTTTTTTGAGAAATTAGGCTTAGGTTTGTCCTTTTATTGTTTTTTATACAATAATAATAATGAGATTCCAACTTATAATCTTATATATATTATTCAAATTCCTTATTAGTAGACCAATTTCAAATAGTTTTGTTCTTCTATTATTTCGATAAGATGTTTAAATAATGAAATCTTTTGTCTGAATTTCTATTGTGTAAACTGTTTTAAGTATCATATTTTTTTAAAGTAAACATATTACCTTTGGAAAAAATAGAAATATTTAAACAAGCATCATTAATTAGTAAATATATTGACTTTATATTTTTATTTAGACATGTTGATGAAACTATCAATACATTTATGTATAAATTTTGAGAAAAATATTTGTTCTTTTAAATAATGATCATTTTAGTTAAAATTAATGTTTTATTTAAAATTTAAATTAAAAAGACCTTCCATTTTCTCCTCCATATTTTTTATTGTATATCTTTTTCTCTTTCTTAAAATAACATAATCATATTCATATGTCCTTTAAAAGGAAAAATACTAATTTCATAAAAAAATTTATGCTGGAAAATATTATGAGCTTTTATTATTTTAAATTTTCATGAATGATGATGTATGTGACGTTCTTCTTTCATGTAACATAAATTTATTTTGAATTTAATTCTGAATTAGAAAGTTAATAAACTTATCACATGCATAAATTTGTCAAAACAAATTAATTTCGAGTACAAGGAGTATAATTTCGAATATGGCAGGATAGTTTTATACTGTCTTAAAAATAAGAAATCTTACATTCTATTAGATCTGGATAGACCATGAATGTTCACCACATAGGTGTGAGGTATATGTGCTCAGAGGAATCTATACGAGATACACCGTACAGGCAAATAGCTAATGTACTAATCACTACACACTAACAATAAGCGTATAGCCAAGACGTGAGTGTGTGTGCACAGTGATGACAGCTAGAGGTGGCAAAATGGGCCGAGCCCGCCGGGCTGGCCTGCCCCGCTCGCCAAACGGGGCAGGGCGGGCTGAGTTTTCTAAACCCGCTGCCCGCCAAGCCCGCCAGCCCGCCCGGGCTGATTTTTTTTTTTTTTAATTTTTAGTGTAAAATGTGACGGGCTTGGCGGGCAGCCCGCCCCGCCCGCCCAAACGGAGCGGGGCGGGCAGAGATATCTAGCCCACCTTCAATGGCGGGACGGGGCGGGCCAGCCCGCTTTTTGGCGGGCAGGGGCGGGCAGGGGCGGGCAGCCCGCTTTGCCACCTCTAATGACAGCAATAGAGAATAAGTCAAAAAACGTATACATGGGATCTTTAGCCTCTATTTATAGAGTTTATCTTTATATGCTTGGGCCTCTCCATGTAGTTATGTTACTTGTCTTGATTGTTGAAGATAGGGATCTTATCCCTTGATCCTCTATAGATTATGTTGTTGTGATATCCCCCTTAATTCATTGCTTAAGGGGTTGTTGGGATATGGATCTAGTCCACAACAGTTGCCCCCAGCCCTGCAGTTCGATAGCTCGGACTGCTGGGGTGTATAGATCTTCTTATAACCTCGATCTCACAGTGATGCTTAGACTAATTGGAGCCCCTATTCGTGGCCGAGTTAGTACGTGCTAGCCGTGGTTGGCCTTGCGTTTATCCAAAGCGTTTTAAGATCTTTGACGAGGTCGTCTTCACATACAATCCTCAACCAGAGTCTTTTTGAATTTGATAGGTCGGAGTCAAGCCGAGGTGATGGTTTCGAGTTCGACTCCCTCATATAGTGGGGGGGAGACCGGGCTAGTTCCAACGTTAGCCCCTGAGTTATGATCACGCCAACGTGACCTTTTATCTTTTGACCATTTTTGTGATGGTTACGCCAGTCCACATGGCGTTCGTCAATTGGTGATTCGTGATTCGAGCCTTGCATGCTGCCCTTACTTTGGCAAATCAAGATGAAGTGCATTTAATGCTCTGAGTTATTTTATGATTGTGCCCCTAACCTTTCAATTTTCGCTCCCAGTGACTACATGTTTGCCCATTCGTTCATTTGGCATCATTTCGAACGTTGCTCTTCACTTCACATATTTTGGTGTTCTCTCTACGTTTTCTTTTTCGTTCAAAGGTTTCTCCAAGGTTCTCGCACTTTTACCCTCATCCTTCCCATTAGCAAGTATTATTCATACACATTCCTTCTTCTTTTGCCTTGCTTCTTGTTGTTTATTACTTAAATACTCTTCGTACACGTGATCTTGATAGTTTTCTTAGGTTTAGGAATTGTGTTTGGTGTTCAATGATCATTTCCCCCTCCTTTTCCCTTTCGGTTAGAAGGTTTTCTTTTTTACCCCTTAGTTTGTTGGATGAGGTGAGTGATCTTCTAGTTTTATGATGAGTACCTCCGGCCATGGCTCTGGTACGGCCCTTGGCCGAGATGGAGATAGTGGAGACCTTGCTAAAGAGCGAGCCCTAATCCAGAAGTTGTCCAAAAGGGTTCGCTACTAGTTCTGGGGTAAGGAAAACACGGAGGAGGATAAGCATCAGCTAGTTCTCCATGGTTACCGAGGTGGGGGAGGCAAGCAGAGGTTGATCCCCTCATAACGTGGACTGGGTCATGCCTCGTCGAAGAGCATGTAGGCTCAAATATCTCAGCTTAATAAGCCATTTGGATGAGGTCGCGCTCCTGCTCCTTCAACCCCGATGACACCTCCTTTGCTAGGGATACTTTCCTTCCAAAATTGGAATGGGGTATAGGGGGAGTTCTTCTTTTATCTCGGTGTCAAGCTCTTGTCTGATTGGGGATTTTGCCCATCCAATTGAGCTCTCCAACGAGTCTTCTAGTTCATCCCATTGTGAATACCACCCTTTAGAGCTCGAATTGGATTCAAGGATGGTGTTGTTGGAAATTATCAACAAGCAATCTTGGATGTCGGCTTAGGATATTGCCGAGCTTCCTATAGGAAATATTGCCAGGGTTGATCTCATTCTGGTCGGTGGTGATGCACAGTCCCCCTCTTTTTATATTTGTTCAGAGTATATACATCTCGAACAGGGTCCAAGACCAAAGAACAGAAAGGTTGGGTTACCCTCCGCAGTGTGGCCAACCTTGGCATCTTCTGAGTACTTATACAGTCTTTTAAAGGCTTCAAGGATCAATATTTCAAGGTGGAAATTCACTATGATTGCCTACCTTGGTTTTCTGATGGGGTATATCAAGATGGGAACTTGTTAGTTCGGTTCCAGCTTTATTGGACCCAGCATCATTATCTCAAATAGCCTAAGGACTATTCGACTCGTGAGTCTTCACTCACTGATGCAGAGTGACTGGGTTTTAATGTCTTGATGCCTTATGTTGGGGAATATGCCATTTTTGGTTTAAGTCAGACGATGAATAAGTTTGGGGATGACCTCCTTGAAGAATTTGGTATGTTATCCCGGGTTTGCTAAATCTTTCCATTTTCTTATGATAATTTGCTATTTTTGCAGCCTTTATGACAGGTTCTGACTACCACAAGTATCTCAAAAGCCTTCAGGAAAAGGGAACGGGGCCTTCGGACACTGCGGACGTGACTCTAAAGAAGCGAAGGCTCGAGCTCACGGGAGAAAGTTCGTCCCCCGAGGTCACTAACGTCCCTCAGGTTTCTGCACCTCAGCCTAATTTGGGGACGTGGTGCCTTGATCCTGGGGAACTTTGGAAAAGAGGGATCTCAGATCGCTTCCGCGTTGTGATGAAGCCACCTCCCTAATTAACTAACGGCTCTCTTCTTAACCTCGACACTCGTGCCGAGCTAAAGCAGATGGAGGAGGAATCTTTGAAGACAAACTCCCTGATCCAAGCATTCTAGGAGCTTCACTTAAAATGTGAGTCGTCTTGCTCCTCAGCTTTAGCCCTTACTCTCAAGGTTAATGAGCCTTCAAAGGAGAAGGCCAATTTGGAGAATGCAACTTTGCAAATGCAATTGAGCAAGCACGTGTTTTGAATCCCGACCTTATTACTGATGGGATGAACGTCAGCTATTTTGTGAAGGATGGCTCCATCGTTCTTGGTACCCCAGACTCAAGTGATACACAGGAGCATACCGAGGCTAGCACCTATGGGGAGGAGATTCCTCCGACAGTTGAAGGTTGAAGGGTCGGTATGCCGACTATAAGTGTAGTTTTTTTATTTGTAGGAACTTGGTCCCCTTTTTGGATCTGTAAGAACATTGTCGGGTTTTTCGATCTTTAACTTTTGTTAATGCTTTCTTGTGCTTTTAAATTGGTTGACTCAGATGCTTATCTTTTAAATTATGCTTCCGCGAAGCTTTATAATTGATGTCCTGGTTTTAATTTCTGAGGTTCATATTTTAAATTATTTTTGGGGTTTGGC